CCTAATTGTGCCAGACCTGAAAACTGTTTTTCCAGTTGGAAGGTTGAGTTTCATCCAGCAGCAGCTTAGCAGGGCAAGGCAGGCTTTCTTTGTCTCAGGTTCACACCATGGGTCCGTCTCATCCAGTCTTGCTCTATAAGTTCTGAAACTCATGAGAAATGTGTGGCAAAAGGTCCGCTTTGCAGCAGTTTGGTTCTGAAATGTCACCATGATGACTTATCCTTGATGATTCTGGAGATCTGGGTCCTATGGGCCCAGATCTCCTTTTTTGCTGGAGACCCTGCTGAAGTGGACCCCAGCTTCATGGGCAAGACATGAGGCAAAGAGATAATGTTCTTTGTGTGTTTTGTAGTTTTCTCTGTCCTCAATATAGAGGGGACTGGACAGCCGCACCTCTGTGACGTACTATGTGACTGGCTTGTGACTGCTTTTGGAGGTCTTGGCTGAAAAGGGGGGGTTGCAGAGCTTAGAGCTGTTCATTCACCAAAGCTCCATCGTCCTCTCTGGTCATCATGTCAAGATGAGACATGGACACTGGTTCCCAATGTCCAAAAAGCATGATCATGGCATATGGCACAACAAATGGAAGCGAGAGAGCGCTTACAAAATTTCATAAAAAATGCAGGATTTGAGGCTTTGCCTATATTTCTGTGAATTGGTGCTATATAAATAAACTGAAAGTAAAGTTCAGATTATTGTACACATGCTTTTCATGCATTTGCCACAATCCAGCAGATAACATCCCAGGCATTGATGCATGCAGCTCTCACTCTTCAGTATGGAGCCACATTGGACAGTAAGCATTTATATTCAACTTTTCCATCAAACCCTTTTCACAATAAGCATGTAGGGACAACGTAGAGCAAACCTTTTTTTTTTAACCAAGAAGAAACTTTCCACATAATCTGGCTCAGTGTGAGGAGCCACCTATCACGACCAACTGGGGGTTTAGGCAAATACGCAACGCTGAACTGAAGAACTTTCTGTGTCAAAGAAGAGCAAAATTTAATACCAGAAGAAAGAGAACAATAAGCTTTTGTAAGCATGATATCAGGGGACATCAGGTGACATCAGAGATAAAACGATTGCAAGACCAGATGTTGCTACACTAAAGATATATAAAATGAAAGAAAAATGAAAGTTAAAAGTGGACTTTAAAGCAAAAGTGACAAATATAAGAGCAG